TACTATCGCTATTTTTAATGTATTCCGGCAACATATTCCACACTACTGTGCATCTGTTTTTTGTGGAATACAATCCATAGTTTGTTTTATTGTAGTGTTTGTGTAATTTCATAGAGCCTCTGGTATTATGGCAATGAATAACATTGTTTTTTATGCAAAGTGAATCAAATTGAGGTGGTAGTGTATTTTTTACTGCGTCGAATGTGAACAAACCAACTTGAAAATAAACCAAGTTGTGAAATAAATTCCATTTTCAGATGAAATATTGAACATATGCAAAATGTTCAATCTGGCTTGACAAAACATTGCATTTCTAAGCCCAATTTAGACCAAACCAGCAAGATTTATTCTCCGTTTGGTATAGACTATAGCCATGTATTGTAGGTGCATTTTCACGTATTTTAGCCTTTGAAATATGACGCCGTACACAAAATTTGACCAAAATAACAGCACTAAGTTGGTACTTCTTCGAAATATACCTCCATTTTGTATGCTGTAAAGAAGCCTCTGCAGAAAGAAGAAGAGCTTCGTATCCATGCCTTATACATAGTTTCTAGGCAACAAAATATTACATATATTCGTAAACATCGTCGGCAAGACCTCAGATGCGGGTAAAAGTGGGCATATAATTTTTTGCGCAAAGGTCAGATGGGCCAATCGAGCAAAACATATAAACACAGACCTTTTGGATGTCTAACGTTTCTGTTTGCCCCGACCAGCTAAAAATTCTTGTGAACGGGGGTTAACCATCCAACAAATAATCCTGAGCGTTAAAAAAGCGTTATAAGCCTGACTGGTGGAAAGCAAGACACTTTATATGAACGCTATTATACTTAAGCTCCGCCCCCTAGTGTCCACAATTTCTCGCCATGTTTGACATGTACATCCTGTGGCTTTTGAGGCACTATTGCATGGGTACCTATAAATACAGAGCAAGATTCAGGCACACTCAGATATCCTACAACCGAAACCTGTATTTGAAAGCCAGCTAAAGTTGGACAAGAACTTGGAAAGAAATTTCAAAATGATGTTCAAAGTACTTCTAATATTCGCCGCTGTATGCGCAAGCGGTAATGGCCAAAGTAAGCTGTACTACATTATATGAACTCTCTCTCTATATATATCACATGATTTACACATTTTTATTCACCGCAAAAATTCACAATATAGCTTCTTGTTCATGGGCAGGGGCCGGGCTGACTGCAGCTTTTCGATCTCGGTGAAGCAGAAAATCCGGGTCCATGCATTTAGCCTTGTCTTAACTGACTTCAGTTTCGAGAATATATATATATATATATATATATATATATATATATATATATATATATATATATATATATATATATATATATATATATCTTTCACACGAGCATACATGCATTGTTTCATCAATGCAATTTTCTTTTCTGAAAGAAAATTTCCTATGACACGCCTCCAAGTCGATATTTTCGCGCCGATTTGTTTCGCCCACAAGTTGGTGGCCGGACTATATAGCTTGCAGCCGTGCACTCGGACGGGACAAGAGTCTTCAAATTGTAAAGTATTTTACAGTATTCGTCCAGTATGAATGATAACGAATTTTTTCTTTATATACAGATCAAATTCTGTGCCCGTGTGGTTGGTAGAAAATCTTGAACAACTGTTTCCTGTTTGTGAACAAAACGGTCACTACTTGGGACACAGCTCGCACAGATTGTTTGAAACGTGGTGGAGATCTAGTCATTCCTACCAGTAACACCGAATGCGATCTTCTCAGTCAGCGTGCTAAAAGCCTTGGAGTTGATCATCCGTGGATTAGTGCTTTCAGGTATCTCAATTATACAGGGTGTATAAAAAAGGGTTATCAAACTTTGGCATATTATTGTGCGGTTGTATAAATCAAGCACACCTACGACAACGTAGGTAAGTTGTGTGCATGCGGTTGCATGCGACAGTTTTAGGGAAAAAAGTTGTGCAGTGGAAATCAGCCCTAAAAGTATGTATATGCTTCTCAACCATTCGAAAATTAGTACCAATATGTCATAAAAATAATGGTATTAAAAATTAGTCATTGATAATTGTATTTTGCAAGAATTTTTCTTTTTTTGCAGACGACGAGAGGATGGGAAATTCTATAATACCTGTGGAAAAGCATTAAGTTTCACACGCTGGAATGTGGGCGAGCCAAATAATTATAAAGGCACTCCAGAAAACTGTGTCCAGATGTATTCGAATGGCGCAGGAAAAGGAAAATGGAATGACCAGCCTTGTAGCAGCCTCCATGGATACATTTGCCAATTTAAAGCACACAGATGTGAGTGTTTAAGTGTTTAACAAACAAGACGCTCCATTAAGCGTTATAGTCGCTGGGACTATTGCGATGAAATTGAAAACTTTGCGTTTTACCCGTTTTATCATTAAGTCGCGCGAGGTCAACTTTTTATTGTCATATTGATTTCAAATACCGCAATATCAAACATAATTTTCTTACTTTGTTGTCGTGGCTGAATAATGACATATTTTTCTTTATAAAGGTGATTAAAGCAGCAAAATTGAAATAAAGTCATGAAACATAGCTACTGTAGTATATAGTACGGTATAACTTGTAGGCTATGTGCTGTAGTAATTCAAATATTTGCAGAAAAGATGTATTTTTTGTAAAAATACCTGATTAAATCTTTAGTTTGACAACTGTTGTAAGCAGTGCTGTAGTCCTGAAACGCTAACAAGGGGGGCTCAAAGGGGGAGGAGGGCAACGACGGTCTGGTGATTAGATAGCCTGCGTAGCAGGCGTTTAGCTGACGGGCGGGTACTGAGGGAACGCCTGCCCAAATTGGCTATGACAATTTGTTTTCGCCCATTAAGGATGATTGACGTTTTGTAATTAGCACCTTCACCCATTATCCAATCATAGTCGAGATTTATATTTTGCATCATGCATGCTTTTTGCTCGGCAACTACGGATATTTGCAGAGATTTTATGCACTATTTAAAACATGAGCAGCAGTGTTTTAAATAGATATAAAGATGGTCTGATAAAACACGCACTGCGAATGTTTTAAATTGCTTCAAAAACGATCGATATAGTATACGTTCATTGGCGAAGTAGCTTTCAAAAAATTCGGTGTGACGGTGTGTATATGTAGAGAAAATCATTAAAATTTATGTAAATTAAGGGAAATCTCTATCACTGTATCACATATCAAGGATACGACACGTTTATGATTTTTCTTTGTGTTTTCCTCATGAATTATTGAGTTTTAAATTTGAAGCTATTTTAGACAATAGTCAGTCATAACGTGCACAGAGCTTTTATCTTTTAGAAGACTCCTGAACCACGGTTGTTTAACGTTTCTGCCGTATAGCAAATATAACAGTTGAGCATGTTTTGAAATGTTATTCTTAAAATCATCATTCACCCTCATAGCTGCAATGCCTAGTGATATAGCCTCAACTATCTGGTCTTGAATTATACTTTAAAGTGAACAAATAACAAGACAACTATATTAACGAAATATTCAGGATATATTTAAAATGTATAATTGAAAGATCAAACTTTTCCGTATTCCTAGGAAGAATCGCGATAACCGGCGTCTTCACCACGTAGCAAATTAATAATATACTTTCTCTGTTCTGTTTCAACTGAATTTCGAAGCCTAAATACTTGAAATATAAGAAAGTTTCCTCGAAAGCATGACAGGCGGCATATTTTTGATACGCGACTATAAACGCGTCAACGCGAGCAAAATTATTGTTGACATTTGAGTTACGTAATTACTTCCGTTAACGAGATTAACCAATGGGAAGCTTTTCCGAAGATTCTTCGGAGAAGAACAAATTAATCATAGGCATTTGGGCAGGCGTTTATTTAACGACGCCCTTTCTTCTCCCGCCTGCACTAAACGCCTGCTACGCAGGCTAGTGATTAGACGAATATATTGATCCATAAAGCGGAACAGAAGTATTATTTCAACAAGTTCAACTTTTACAGGTTCAATCATGCATTGTAAATCTGTAATGACTAATGGCAACGTTTGTATATGTTTATTACCATAGATCGCATAGCTGGATTCAAGCATGTTGCGTCAGGTTAACATTTATTAAAGGTCAAGAGCTCTAACTTAATCGGATTTTGGTTTTGATTTTTGCGGACATACCACAGACATAAATCCCCACAGAAACGGCTAGAACGAAGAAAAAATTGCTATGACTACTAATAAAATGTCACCACTGTATTCATGCCTATATTCAGCAGTTTTACCTAGCATAATGTAGGCTATACAACTATTAAATTATATATAAGTATATAGTATATAGCTGCACATATTGCGAAGGTGTGGTGAAGTGTGCGTAGTAACAATCGGATCAATAATGTTTATCTCCCTTGATAGCATTGGTTGCTAAATACAGTCTCTGGCCCTGGGCGGCACAGCGGCTATGACACACCAGTCACTGAAAAAATAGATAGTATACATTATAATTGACATTGACTTAACCGTACAAATACTGTACAGTTACCTAATGTGACTAATTTTAGACTTTTAGATAGACATAAAAGTGCGCGATTTTTTTACAATTATTACAAAATTGTTGATTTTACGACCATTAACTCCACGATCGCTATAGAAACAATCGCCTAGAAGATTACAATGGCATCTCGTAAAAGACAGTACCGACATCGCGTTCGGTGCGAGGAATGCAATAAGGAAATCGACTGATTATAAGGAGGTGCATTCTCGATTTGTTCACAATGGTAAAAAAGTAAAATGTCATCCAATGATGGAATCATCGGCCTGATTCATCCCAGTCGAAAATCAATACTTTCTTTGTAAAAAGTAACATGACAACCAAGGACAATGAACCCCAGTAATCAGTATGACCTAACCCTACCTCGTTCCCAGGCTCTTTGCTCTTGGGAAGCAAAGACCCTGGTCGGAGCTGGTCACGGGAACCACCAGATTTTGGGGGTAAATTGAATTTGACCTCAGGGAGGGGTAGTAGAGGAGTCTGTTTGTTGCGTTTGGAAAATTGCAACTTTATGCGTTATAATTTCGGGTGATAAAAATGTAATTTGCACCAAAGATTGTGAAAGGAACTGTTTTAAATTGTACCGATCATGACAAGACTTCCTGCTGTACTGAATGTCATCAATAATAAGTGTTGCGGTACATTTCAAGCGAGAAGCTGGATCATATTTCACTTGCAAGGAAAGCACTCCATGTACACGCACCTGGCTTGCGAAGTTTAGCACGTATCGCCGTAGAAACATACATATCTTCTACACAGAATGATCGATCAAACGGTATTAAACGAACGATATGGTTCTTTATAGTTGAAGTGTAGCCTATCCTGTCCGATATTCAAAACAAAAGATTTATTTTATAACGGGATCCTTTGATTTCCCAAACATCGCCAACATGTGTAAACAATAGTGCTATTTTGACTGTAAAAGCACAGGATTAAAACCCGTTATGGACTGGCTATAAAATTCATTTCATTTACACTGCTGAAACTCAACGATCAAGAAAGATAATGTCGAAGTGTAGCTAGCTATCTGTTATCACACAAACGCCAATTAA